CGAGACATTCACCTTTCATGCAGGAAACTTGTGAGTTTCACAATATAGAGCCCATATTATATATATATATGTATATACCATTATATATGTATATATATACACATACCATACCACTGTATATACATATATCTATGCATAGCATAGATGTTATGTGTATAGATATGTAGAGGACCACCAGGGATTCTTGTGCCTGGACCTCTTCCCGTTGTGCCAAGGCTGTGAACCAGGTGGTGCAGTACATCCCAAAGTTGGATGATTGGGCCAATGCGGTGCGATTGCTACCCCACACAACGAGGCCAGGCGAACGGCGAACGAGAAGGTGTTTGTGTCATTTGGTGGTATCCGGTTTTGGGACTGAATTGGTTTGTGAACCGAAGGCAGCAATGCTTCACTGAACCCTTCAACGAACTCCTGCTGCGGAAGTCCCAGCGAAATTCTTTCACCTTCAGAAGCTGAAGTGTTGCGAAAACTTGTGCCTTGTTGCTACCTAGTCTGAGGTCTTGTGGCCGGGCTCATGCTGTGAAGGTCACCTTCCGAGTACTTGAGTGGATGGAGGAGCTGCGCAGCGAGTGAGTGAAAGCTACGATGGCCCAAGCTGAGACCGGGGATCTTGGCACCGCGCAGCATGTTCGTTCTGTGTTGCAGGCGCTAGCCATCCCAAAGGACTCCTTCACATATGAGGCAGATGCTTTCGATTGTTGCAATTGTGGGTCAGGAGGGTTGCGGACAGCAACCCACAAAGCCGCATCACGCGTCAGGCAATAGGAGTGAATGTGGTGAAGCGCATCACGCGCCTGCAGAAGGTAAGCACAACCGCCTGTAGTTTGACAACTGGTCTCATTGCTGGGTTTGCATGCATGATCTGAAGTTTGTTTACCTCAACTGTGAGACACTGTCAGTGCCTGAGTGCTTTTCATTCTTTTGATTACGACACTGGCCAGGTTTGGGATTTGCCCCAAGCACCAGAAGACAATGTGTGCCCAGAGGCAGCACCTTGAGGATTTGCAGGCTCTTCCTTGAAGAAAGTAATTGGTCGTGCATGCCAACTGAAGGTGGTCTTTGCGGGTCGAAGCAACGTTGGCAAGTCTTCATTGGCGCTGCGCCCAGATGGGCTTATTGAGAGCTGAGATATTCATTTGTGATCAGCACAAATGCGCTAAATACATTATGACTTGGCAAGGGGCCATTGAGACTGATGCCACAAAAGAGAACAAGGTAATGATCAGAAACTGGCCTGGGTTCAGAAACTAGGGTTGAGAAACTGGTTTGTCGGCACGAGCAATTGGTTTGGTCGGGTTCAAAAACTGGGTTTTTGCCGGGTTCAGACCCTGTGTTCAGAAACTATTTTGGTGGGTTCAGAAACTTCCTTGTCTTCCTTGTTGGGGGTTTGAAATTAGGTTTCTTCCTTGTCTTTGGGTCAAGCGCTTGGTTTTATCTATGTGCAGAAGCTGCATGGCTATGATTCAAGCTTTTGAAGCGCATGCTTCCAGTTTCCGAGCACGAGTTTCAGAACACGAGTTTCCACACCCACCGAACCACACGTTTACGGTTTCCAAGCCCAACGTTTCCGAACTGAATGAACCCTGACCTTGAAAAAAAAATCACCCAAATGGTCTTGAAAGCCACAGTGCAGGCTTGGCTGGAGTTTTTTCTGCAAACGAAGTGCGAGTACTAGGGGTTTGGCGAGCCAACCCAAATTTTTGGAACTCAATTGATATTTTTTCTTAAGAGGTTGGTGATGCTGATCTAGGGCTTGGGATGCATATGATGTCGGGTCGCATCGCGAGCATCATACAGGTGGTTGCCATTTTTGGTCTAAAGGATTGTGAAAGTTAGTTGAGTCAGACGTTTTGGGGGACAGAGGGAGTGTAAAGTGTTGTGGATGGTTTGCATTGTGAATAGTCTACTGTCTGAGGGCACATGCTTGGCAGAAGTGCGTTGCTGTGAAGTTGGTGAAAGGACATCAATTGTTACGGTGGTCATGTAGAAAGATAACGACCTATCATCAGGTTCCACAGGTTTCCTCTCACCATTTTGACTTGCACGGAGGTTAACATGTTGTTGAACCGTTCAGCCATTGCTCCTACCTCCTCAAGGCAGGGCATTTTGGCAAAAGAAAGATCTGATGAGTCCAAGAATTGGTCCAGTAAGCAAGATGAAAGTATCCCAACATGAGTTTGGACCACTCTGACATGTCATTGCACATGAAGTGGGCTGCTGAACTGCATGTGATTTTGCAAGCATTTTGGAGATGGCCAGTCCCCGAGGCCTGGTCGAACGAAGACCATGGACTTCTTTGATGTGAACAATGGCCACCCAGAACCTTGTTCCGCCAAGAGAGATGCCGACCCGGTCGCCAAGTTCTGTGGTCATGGTCCTCAGGTGATGGCCTGAGTGTAGATAAAGAGTAAAGCCATCCCCCCAATCCCCTCATTGCTCGGCCTGGCTTTCCCCTCTTTTGTGTGTTTCTCCATCTTTGCTCATGAAAAAACTCTTTCTAAACCGCCAATGGGGTGTAGCCCAGGTCTGTCCGCGAGACTAGAGAATGTCTTACGCACCGGCACATGCCGGGGTGTGGAGCTCTCAATCAGACCCTCAGCCCTCAGCCGCTCACATTCTTCGATAAATTTGCACATTGGGAGAGTCCCATTCATGGGAGGGTCAGGTGATTTGTTGTTTTGTTTTTGGCAACTGAAATGCAACCCGCAACAGAAACTGGACCAAACAGGTTGATGCCATGAGTTGACATACACCATGAATGTAGGGAAGCCAAAGTCACAGGAGGTAAAGTGCAAATGGGTACCTTCCTTGGCGAGGCCATCGCTAGTAGAGTTTTCAATTGTCTGACCAGGTCAGTTGTGCCCCGGGTACTTTGGTGCTCCTTGGTGCCTTAGCTCCGGCCTCTCTGGTGTTCGGAGCTCATCTAAGGCCTTGCCACGGTTCCGGCTGGTGGATGTCCCCGGGTTGGGCTTTGCGCGAGTCTCCCACGAGCTGCGGGAGCGGTGGATCTCGCTCATCGGAGGCCAGAGAATTCCCCTGAAAGAGAGACATTTTTTAAGGTCCTAGAAGCCTTCCAGAAGCCAGCAGATGTAGGGCATTGCAGCTACTGTTCTCTATATGATACGAGTGGTGGCATGAGGAGGAACTTGACCGCCAAATTGAGACATGTCGTGGGTACAGACAAGTATATATGATTTCAGCTTTTGACATGTTTTGTTGAAGTATCATAGATCTTACCATTTTAAATCAAGGGTTGCAGTTTTGCCGGTTTTATGTCCTCTTGCAACCCTCTCCCACCGAACGTTTGGAGCTTCAGGCTACTTTGTCCAGAGGCAGTCTTTGAAGATCGTTTTCCACCTGCTGGTTGAAGCCTTAAGATGCTCTCTTCGGGCCTGCAGAAGATGCTCTCTTCAGCTTTCGATTCTCAGGATGCTGGCCTGTGTGAAATGATGCCCGCCGATCGGGAACTCTGGAGACTCTTAGCACAGGTGAGAGTCCCAATTAGGAGAACAACCGTGGCTGTCCCGCGCGGAAGTCAACAGCAGAGGTCTATCATTGGACCCGAATGTTCATGATGGTTTCTGGATCTCTATTGTTCTTCACAAAGCTTTCGGCTGTACTGTGTGACATGCAAATGTTTTGACCAACTTTTGATATTGATTGGTCGCGCGAGCGTTCAATATTCGGCCAAGGCCAAACGGTCAGACTACGAGCTTTGTATTGTTCTGACGAAGGCCCGCTTGAAGAAACCTGACATGAACCTGTGCTTTGTGGAACCCGTTTATATAAGCAAAATTTCTGGTGCTTGTGTGACTTAATGTAAGGACCTGATTAATAACCCCCCCACATGGTAGGTCAACAAGGTCAACAAGGAATGAGATACCACTCATAAGGTCCACCTCCCCTGAATAACAAGCCAGGGGCACAGGATCAAATCAATAGGGATAGTAGTGCAGATTATTGAGGGGGACCGGCCCTTCTGAGGGATACCCTTTGTGAGCTTCTCAAATGATTGCTTTTAATTGTCTTATTTTACTTTATTCTTTTTTAAAGAAGACATTTATAAGCCCTGAACCCTAGACATTTTCTAGAATTTCATTGGAAAGTGGGTGGGTGGGTGGGTGGGTAGGTAGGTAGGTAGGTAGGTAGGTAGGTAGGTAGCAGTGGGCGTAGTAGCACAGCAGCAGCAGGAGGAGGAGGAGGACGAGGAGGTATAGTAGTAGTAGTAGTAGTAGTAGTAGTAGTAGTAGTAGTAGTAGTAGTAGTAGTAGTAGTAGTAGTAGTCGTAGTCGTAGTCGTAGTCGTAGTCGTAGTCGTAGTCGTAGTAGTCGTCGTCGTCATCGTCGTCAGAGTCAGAACATGGTTGTGGGCTCGGATTAACTGGCGGGGTTCTGGTACCCAACTAGACAAATAGGGGGGGAACAAGCCACCAATACTACTTTTAATTTCGGGGGATTTGTGGGCTCGGACGAGTTAGGGGAGGCTTACTAATCATGACGTTACATTACACATTGAAAGCTTCGAGCCCACTCCGGCTTGGGAGATTGTCCCACGAGGCAAAGTCCAGTGTTAGTAGATGAGATGCATGTTTCCGGGGTAGTGTCCCTTGCTAGCCAGGCAGACAACAGCGTACCGTCCCAGTGTTGCCCTCATGATGAGACTGCTTGTGGTGCCAGAATTCTCAACGACTAGAAGGAAGAACGAATTGCCAAACGTTTAATGTATATGATAATCCAATGTTCTTTGCGCAAAGCTGCAAAGCTAAGACAGACCCAGCACCCCAATGAAGGCTGGAACGCTTTGCTGGCATTGTGCGAGATGCGCTGCGACGAGAGGGTTCGGCCGGATCCTCAAGCATTTTCTGAAGGCAGAAGAAACAGCTGCGGGCCTATTGGAAGCCATTGCTGTTAGGTTGGAGGTCATCGCTAGTAGGTTGGAGGCCATCGCTAGTAGGTAAGAATCAGAAAACATTCTTGTTTCACAAAGCGTTCTTCTAAGATTCTTATTGAGTGTATTCCCCAAGGTGAGCCCAGCAAGGGGGGCAGAGAGGGAACCATCCTTTGGATAAAGAAAAGATAAAGTGGGAAAAAGAAGGTAAGGCAGTTTTTCTCTTCTTTATTTAAGGGCTGCCGCCCCTGCCGCCGACCCCGATTCTCAGGTCCG